GTGATCGGATAAACGGAGAAGTGAGGACAATTCAATATTAAAAAATGACACAACATTCACCACCACCTCAGATCTGGTATGGCATATATACTAATATCGTTGCCGACTATTTGAACATGATTATGATTATGGCACATTTTTCGTTTGCAGATAATGATGATGCAACAATAGATGCGGATATTTACAGCATATATTGACATTCTACCTAGAATACCTTTGAGTTCACAGGGATAAATCTTATCGACATATGATTGGAAATAACTATTGTCAATTGATAAAACATCGCTAATATATTGTGGATGTCAAGTTGAGGGCAATAGCAAATGTTTTCCTCTCATGTACAAGTTTTACATAAATTCTTCACAAAAGGTCTGCTATAAAGAAACCAAGTAGTGTCCATCGTTTCCAAGAATTTGTTGGAAGATTTGATCTCCATATATAGGCTATATATTTGAGGTCAATGAGGATTTATAACATCCTTTTCAAATTAACATCTTCAGATGTTACTCAATGCTTAGAATAATTATTTTTTCAAATATATTCTTAGATGACTGATCACAAAATACGAAAATATCACAGTTCTAATTTTATAAAAAAAAAAATTAAAAAAAAACCCAGAAAATTATGATATAAAAATCTTTTATTTTAATTTATCATGAGCCCTTGATGTATAAAGTGCAGAAAAGTCGCCCATTTTAGTCACTGTCTTTTGAAAACGTAAGTTTTACATAAATTCTTCATAAAAGGTCTGCTATAAAGAAACCAAGTATTGTCCATCGTTTCAAGAATTTGTTGGAAGATCTGATCTCCATATATAGGCTATATATTTGAGGTCAATGAGGATTTATAACATCCTTTTCAAATCAACATCTTCAGATGTTACTCAATGTGTAGAATAATTAATTTTTTCAAATTATATTCTTAGATGACTGATCACAAAATACGAAAATATCACATTTCTAATTTTATACATGAAAAAAAGAAAAGAAAAAAAGAACAGAAAATTATGATATAACAGAGGCCCAGGGGCCACAGCGCTCACCTGAGCACATCGGCTTGGAAAAAGCACATATCAGATCAGACCTGAAAGTTTACTGAGGTTGGGGGGGGGGGGCTTGAATATTACCCCCCATGATCATGATTTGAACAAACTAGAATCTACACTACCTGAGGAAGATTCCATATAAATATTACTAGTCATGGCTTTGAAGTACTTAAAAAGAAGATTTTAAAAAGTTTCCCAATTTATTCCTATGTAAAACCTTGGTCGGCCATTTTGGCCCCACCCTAGCCTCGGGGGTCATGATTTGAACAGACTTGAATTTACACTACCTGAGGATAATTTCACATGAGTTTCATCTTTCCTGTCTTAATGGTTCTTGAGAAGAAGATTTTTGAAGATTTTTCCTATATATTCCTATGTAAAACTTTGATCGGCCATATTGGCCCCACCCTAGCCCCAGGGGTAATGATTTGAACAAACTTGAAATATATGAGGAGATTCCACATGAGTTTCATCTTTCCTGGCCCAGTGGTTCTTGAGAAGAAGATTTTTAAAGATTTTTCCTATATATTCCTATGTAAAACTTTGATCGGCCATATTGGCCCCACCCTACCCTCAGGGGTAATGATTTGAACAAATTTGAATCTACATTACCTGAGGATGATTCCACATGAGTTTCATCTTTCCTGGCCCAGTGGTTCTTGAGAAGAAGATTTTTGAAGATTTTTCCTATATATTCCTATGTAAAACTTTGATCAGCCATTTTGGCTCCACCCTACCCCCAGGGGTCATGATTTGAACAAATTTAAATCTACACTACCTGAGGATGATTCCACATGAGTTTCATCTTTCCTGGCCCAGTGGTTCTTGAGAAGAAGATTTTTAAAGATTTTTCCTATATATTCCTATGTAAAACTTTGTATTGCCATTTTACCCCCAGGGGTAATGATTTGAACAAATTTGAATCTACATTACCTGAGGATGATTCCACATGAGTTTCATCTTTCCTGGCCCAGTGGTTCTTGAGAAGAAGATTTTTGAAAATTTTTCCTATATATTCCTATGTAAAACTTTGATCGGCCATTTTGGCTCCACCCTACCCCCAGGGGTCATGATTTGAACAAATTTAAATCTACACTACCTGAGGATGATTCCACATGAGTTTCATCTTTCTTGGCCCAGTGGTTCTTGAGAAGAAGATTTTTTAAAAATGCCATTAATTTTTCTCTAATTCCTAATTATCTCCCCTTGGAAAAGGGCGTGGCCCTTCATTTGAACAAACTTGAATCCCCTTTACCCAAGGATACTTTGTAGCAAGTTTGTGAAATGGCCCAGTGGTTCTTGAAAAGAAGATGAAAATGCGAAAAGTTTACGACAACGACGACAGACAACGGACAAATTTTGATCAGAAAAGCTCACTTGAGCCTTCGGCTTTTATTTTAATTCATCATGAGCCCTTGAGTATAAAGTGCAGAAAAGTCGCCCATTTTAGTCACTGTCTTTTGAAAACGTAAGTGATTTTAGATTTTAAATTCCATATATTTGCGAATACTCCTCTAATTTATATACGAGTTGTTCCTCATCGTAAATAAAGGTTTATGCTTTAAAAGAAGTACAGATGTAGGAGCTAGGTAGAGAATTTGCTAAACCAAGCAAAATATCTTTGTAACATTTTATTTGAAGTTTTAGAATCCATTATATGGAATATATGAATGTCACCTTGGATGACTGGAATTTAACTAGCAATTCAAAGGAATTAAGACTTATTGACAGATATTTCAAATTAACTTATCAAAAATCTTGACAATTACATCTTGAATCATGTTTATGTAAGTAAAATTAGTTCAACAACATAAATTTTAATTATTTATTCAAAGTTTCACAATAAATGTGATTATGAAAAAAGTCGTCTTTCCAGACATAGAATTTAAACTAAATAATTCTAAAACACATTTACAATGATTTGCAAACAAAAAGATATTGTTATATGTTTTGTCTTCGGGGCCCTGTAATAATGGTTATGTGGTCTGATTCATTTATCACCTCTTTTGTCCTCTCTGTCTTAGCTAAATGTCTGGCACAATCTTTCAAATTGACAGAATATATGAGAGAAATAAAGTTCTGTCACCATCTAAAGATGGGATTTCCTGTATTTAAGAGCTTGGACAGGGCATTAAAACACGGACCCGCTGGTTAAAATGGCCTTGTCAACAAATACAATTTATCATCGAGTCAAATGATGACTGTGATATTTTTCATACTAATTGTTATGCCATTATTTACACACTGAATTTACGACGGTTTTTCCCGTTAATTCCAGATCATAACAATGAGCACACAGTCTTGAATATTTTAATATCCCCAACACCCAAAATGACTTTGAACTACCATACTATAATGTATTTATATTGGAATCCTTAAAAACAAAGATACATAGTGGGTTCCAGTAAATGTTCAACTAAGCCTCTTTCTTTACTCCTCATTATATTAATAGTAGTGAAGGAGAAACTTCAAGAGTACTTTGCAACAATATATTCGAGAAGTGTTGTGAATCAGATGTGGATACTTAAAAATTCCAAAGAACTTTTGAACAATTTGAAATCACAAGATTTTACCAAAATCAACAGTTTAAAATCTTTTCATCTTTATTAACAACCATTCCCCACGATAAATTAAAGTCTAGGCTTTTTGATACCATTGACAGCTGCTTTTTCAATGAAAATGGAACTCGTTAATTTACTTACGTTGTCATCGGTTATCTGCAAATTTATTTTGTTAAAACAAATTCTAACTGGACACACACGTACTCAGAAGTTGGCATCAAAAAGATGCTTGAGACCAGGTCTTCCAACGATCTATTGGAATTCCCATGGGTTCCAATTGTGCTCCTATTTTTGTATCCATATGAAGCAGAGTTTGCCAAAAATCTTATGAAAAGAAGAAAACACTTGTTGTGGCCTTCAAATCGACATTTAGATATATTGACGACGTATTGTCAATTAACAATGATTATTTCCATTCTTATGTTGAAACGATACATTCCCAATGAGCTTGAGATAAGAAATAAAACATAATCTAATACATCTGACGTGATGACTTTCAATTTTCTATCGTCAACTTTCCTTAGTTGTGCAGCAATATACCTTTATCACCTGCATACAGTTTATATATATCAGTTGATTCGATACGCAAGAGCATGCGCTACGTATGAACAATTTCTAAATCGAGGTAAATTATTGACAAACAAGTTGATAAAACAAGAATATAAGCAGTCTCGTTTAAAGTTATCATTTCGTAAGATCTATGGTCGATACAATGACCTTATCAGCAAATACAATTTATCATTGAGTCAAATGCTGACTGACGTTTTTCATACTAATTGTTAGTTCATCATTTATACACTGAATTGAGGATGGATTTTTCCGTTATTTCCCGATCATGACGAGGAGCACACGGCGGGTGTGACTGGTCTGCAGGGGATGCTAACTCCTTTATGGCACCTGATCCCACCTCTGATGTTTTGGAATTAAGCAATTTATTTACATCAATTAAATGACTTCGGTACAATGTTATGTATGACTTACAATGCTAACATAATTCTATAGAAGTGGTTCTATAGAAAAGACATATTTAAATATTTTTTAAAAAAAATAATACAATCTTTTTTAAAGCAACTACCAATTAACCGTAACATGAAAGTGTGAAATCAAATTATTTGTCTTTGTTCCTTCATGCTTAAAGTCTGGCGAGGGTCTAGGAGATAATTGATTATGCACTACCTTGCTTTAAAAAAAATAAAATACACCCCAGGACGTATGATAACTTAAGCTATTACTCTGAAAACAAACGATAATGTCATACAAGTTAGGCTTAAACAAAACTAGATAAGTGATTAGAACATGGTCAATTCGATCAGTTTTTCTTCGTTCTGATGGTGTGATACTGACGGCGATATCCATCTTATTCGTTTTTCTCTGACTGGGGTTCAGAGAGATATTATTTATAGCTTATCTAGTGAATATTATTGACCGCTAGCTTTCTCCTGTACAAGCTTTCGTGTTTTTCAACTTGCATTGAAGAAAACTTACGGAGGAGAATGAATATAGGTTTGCATTATCGCATCTTGTTTCAGACTTGGAATAACGAATGACATATATTAGATAAAAGGTTGTCATGGAAATGTATATTGAGATGTCTTTTTGAATTCCATGAAACTTTAGAAAAGTTATATAAGATTCGAATCTGAGAGAACAGATGTAAAGAACAGAGAATTTTTGTGATGCAATTCTGCTTTTGGTAAGTTTTCAAACCAGTTTTTTTTCTATTTATTGTTTAAATTAATCTTCATTTTTGTATTTTTGTCCTGTTGTTTAATTCTAAGGGGGGGTCTTAAGAGAGATTTACATTTGTGCAAACTTTTACTTAGAAAATAACTTCATTGTAAGAGACTGGATGTAGCACGGATCAACGTATTTTTATTTTTGAAGGGGCATATGAGTATGAAGGTAATTCCTGTTTCCAAATTTCTTTTGAAAAAGATGAATAATTTCATGACACCTTTTCAATTAAAATATACGAATTGCATATGAACGAGCTTTGACCTTAGATAAGAAAAGTCATTACCAGCCAGCGGTTACCTCTTTGTGTGTGGCACATGTAAACCGAAAAATACCGAGATCTTGTTAAGATCACGAAAAGATAAGTTGAAGTAGATATAGAGAAATTCAATATTTATATTTTAATTCTGGAATCTCAGTTATATACAAACGAGGCCTTTAATACCGACGTAAAATAAATGTGTATATCTACTTGCTTTTATGTTTAAAATTGTCTGTTTCACAGCGTAAACAATAACTCACAAAGACAGAAAGGTAAAATGGTTTTTGAGCTGTTAAAAAGAAATAATGTTAAGCATTCACATGGTTTGTGGACTTTGAAAAACAACAATTTATGAAATCTATACATTATTTCTTCACTTCACCTTTATTTACAGAATTTACCTCTCCATTCTTATTTAATATAATCTTAAACTAATCATGACTTGACTAGTTTTTTAAGTAAACGTCAAGATTCATGGTTTTTATTAGAATTTCTTTAAATTGACCAAATACTGGATTCTTTTAAAGCAATATGAGCTGCAACTTTGATGTCGGAATGTTTGATGCAAATTAAAATTGTATTCAACTACATGTGTATTTCAATTACAGAAAAAAAAAATAACGTTAATAAACCATATTTGCGACGCAACACGTATTTATGCCCTGTTCACACGGAGAGATTAATTCGAATTAAACGTAAGTTTACTGCGAATTAGCTTCGCTTAGCGTTCACACGGAGAATTTAATGCGAATTAGTTTACTTCGCATTAGTTTACTGCGCATTAAATTACTTCGCATTAGCTCCGTGTGAACGCTAAGCGAAGCTAATTCGAATTAAATTTTGGGGCATGCGTAATGGCAAAATTAACTCAAATGCATCATGCCGGTGGTCAACTTTAAGTACTTGTGCTATTTTTGAGTCAAAAACTAAGAAAAAATGTCTTAATCACTAAAATATGTCTCCAGACACTGTGACATTATGTCAAATGCATCTGCTTCTGCATAAGGTGACGTGATTTGCAAATGACGTCATAATAACCTTCCACACGCCTGACTGTTGAAGTAAAATTTTAATTCGCATTAGTTTACTTCGCATTAGCTGTCGTGTGAACGCAATTTAATTCGCATTAGTTTGATTCACATTAGTTTACTTCGCATTAATTTATCACGTGTGAACAGGGCATTATTAGCTAAGATTGAATCAAAATTAAATTATTGTCGTCTTGTACAATAATTATTTCTTATACAAGACTGTACATTGGATTGTATATAGAAGTCTTTCTTCTGCTTTATTTTTAGTTTAATTGATCACATAGGTTTAAGTTACATACACATTTTTCACATTTTAAGAGCAAAACAAAATTTTTCAGTTCATATTGCTTTAAACTGTTTAACCTAACAGCTAAATTTGACTCAATTCCTTTTCCACAGTTTTTTTATCGTATACTTTTAATTTTTTCCTTGTGTTTTATTCGGATTTTTCAAATGCCACAAAATCAAAGCAACTTTATACTAAGTAAAAGTATAAGTATATCTATCAAATAAACAATGCATAGAAGATTATCATAGACATATTCTAAATGTTCTAGACTTTATCAGACGTTTTTCAAAGATGCCAATCTCTAGGTGGTTTCTAACACCCCATTTATTATACTGAAGACAAATCTTCGCACATTCCAGAATAAAGTACACTAAAAAATTTCCGAATTCACAATAAATTTTTTTTTCATAATTCAATACTTGAATTAAAAAAAATATGACACAGAGACGTCGACTGTCTTCCAATAATTTTACAAAATGTTAATGGGCCTCGTCCAAGGCATAATTGATTGACAATAATTTGGACAAGTATAGAACTAAGTCCACAAAGTGACGAAAACTTGCAGCCTAATTCCTATAATCTCTCACGAGGACAAATGCCTGGTTGGTTCTAGATTACATATTGATCATTAGCTTAGTACGCACCGTTTATATATAGTGCTCTGACTTTAGGGTCCTTCTATGATTTTCGATGTCTTGGGTCTATATATGTATGTACAAAATCACAAGCAGAGTTTGTTGAAAAGATGACGTGGTGAAGATAACGAAAAGTAATCGATCTCAAGAACATCTTTAAACAATACAGAGCTGTAAAGAGAGCATAATAAGGGGCCCCTGGAAAGTTCAGAGATGGGTTTAGGTGTCAAGGAGGAGTAAGTATCTCCTGCAATCAACTGGTCACACCCGCCATGAGTCTTATGAACTGATCAGGTGGAATATTCCGAGGTCAAATTCAATATTTAACCAAAGATTATAAAGACTAAAGATATGAAATCTATTTATGTTATATCGTACATGCCACTAATCAGCTCTTCATGTATAAAATACTTAAAAATAGTAAAAAGTAATTAAACAACCATAATGTCAACTGTAAATGACAACATCATGAAACCCTTATTATGTTCCAATAGTCATCAAGTAATGGCATTTTTTTAATAAGATCAAATTAATCTAAATGATTGTACGTTTTGTAATCATATAAAGAATTTAGTTAATGGAAGCGGATTTTGAATATCAACGCATTATATCTATTTTACATATGATTTTATATTACAACCACAAAGTGTAACGATGAGGGTTTAATGGTTGTTATCTATTTACGTATATTCTAAATACAGCTTTTAATACAGGAAAAACCAAAATGTAAATAACTATAGAAAATGGAGAGGACTTTTTTGATTTTCAAAATGACGGATTCGAACAAACCTATTTTATGTAAGCAGCAAATTCAGTATGTATTTGTTTAGAAATATAATTAAAAAATATAAAAGCTCCAAAAAATTAATAATGTGGGAGGTTACTTATAGATACTAAATTTTAGAGGTGTTATCTGTTAAGAAAAAAAATGAAAAAAGGTTTTTTCTTATCCATAATTCAAAAGCTCAGATACAATTTCAGAAGTTCATACCAATAACGTCAGTGAGTTCTAATTCTAATCACTATTCTTCTCCATACTTAACTGATCACATTTCAGAATCAAGCAAAATGTGCCGAATATACAACTTACTGGATATTTTGTCTATTATACTATAGGAAAGAACATTTATTCATTGTAAATCTTTAAGGCAAGACGAGTAAAAAATGGGCAGTTTTGATTGACATACAAGAACTGCTGTTGCCGACGGAAAACCGTATGATTTTGTTCTTGATCATGTTAAGACTTTCCGTCAATGATTAAGGATTTCGAAACCGAATTCTTAATTATCAATAAGCCATCAAAGCTTTCACAAATTGTATTTGTTATATAAATGTCCTTATCATTTGTTTCTTTTTAAAATCGAATATAGATAAATTACATATATATAAACATTATCTACATCGGGCTGTAGTTTATGAATAAAATCTTATCTTTCTCTTTATCCCTCGATCTCTCTTAGTTCGTGACAAGGTGCAATTTAACCACTGTATGTCTGTTAGCTAATGCTTTTAAGGGACCTATAAATCGTGTCGATTCATTTAAGTCTTATTATCACAGATTGATTGCATTACTGAAATTCCAATAAATATCGTGTTATAAATTTGCTCCATGAAATATCCTTGAAGGTTACTTTATCTACTAAAAACTTAAAGTTGAATATGGTTCCTAAAAGTCAAAAGGTCACAAATAAATGTCTAGAAGTTTAAAGACATCAAAATAATAAAATAAGCCAAGATCAACTGCTAAATCAGATTCTGAATCCAAGGATTAATGTAAATAAGAAAAAAAGGACAAGATCCATGATATATAGAGTTCCAGAACCAGATCAACACTTCGGGGCATTTCTACAATTCCAGGGAAACGCTTTGACACAATTTCTGGGTCATGGTATAGACTTAATAAGCCAATAGAAATGGATTTTCCTGAGAAAAATCTTCTTGTCATTTTTATGATTTGAAAATTGATTTCCACATTCTTTTGTGTTTAGAAATCATGCCATCAGTACATAAATTAACAAAAATTAACAACAATTTCTAGAAAGTTGTCTTTCGCATATATAGTTTGGAGAACAGGTCTGTTAACAATATATTTGAATTCCCATGGGTACCAGTTGTGCTCCGAGACCTATTTTTGTATTCATACGAAGCAGAATTTGTCCAAAATCTTACACTTAAAATGAAGAAACCATTTCTTGTGGCCTTCAACTCGACATTTAGGTATATTGACGACGTATTGTCAGTTAACAACGGTTATTTCCATTGTTATGTCGATACGATATATCCCGATGAGCTTGAAATAAAAGATACCACAGAGTGTCTGACACATTGGTTTCATATTTAGATATTTCACTAAAAGGACGTTAATGTAATCTATTAACTAAGATTTATGATAAACGTGATGACTTAAATTTTTTAATGGTCAACTTTCCTTACTTGTACTGCAATATACCTTCATCACCTGCATACGGAGTTTATAACTATCAGTTGATTAGACATGCTTGGGCATGCTCTACGTGAACAATTTCTAAAACGAAGTAAGTTACTGGCAAAGAGTTGATGAAACAAAAATATCAGCAGTTTCGTCTACAGTAATTGATTGATTGTATATTGTTTAACGTCCCTTTCCTGAATTTTTCACTCATATAGAGACGCCACAATTTGCCGGTGGAAAGCTGCAAATTTGTTCTATACTCGGCTCTCAGTACCATTGAGCAGGGAGGTATCTTTTTCGTGCCAACACCT